CAGTACTGCACTCATGTAGCAGGGTGTTCAATGGTAAGATTAGACAAAAATCGAACATTCTTGTGTAAATGGAAAGCATTACAGTACATCTGGTGTAAGCCTAACACACGACATTACACAGTGAAAAAGCACCATCCCAACTGTCAGAGTGGTGACAACGTCATGCTGTAAGTATGCTTCTTATCACCAGGGACTGGGAAGCTTGTCAGGACTGGGGGGAAATGAATAAAGCATCATATCCTGAATCCTAAAGGCAAATTCTCAGCATTTTTTGGAAAACTCAAGTTTTATTGGGACAAGACCCCGAAACACAAGGCCAACAGTCAAAGTAACAGTGAAAAGGTCAGACAAACTGAGAATGAATTGCACTTCAGTGCACTTCAGTCAATCAAAGTCCTGACTTGAATCCAAACGAAACGTGAAGGTGAAGTCTGATGAACCCAACTGCGGTATACGCAAGAAATGTGATCAGAAATGGAATCACAGGAAGAAAAATTGGAAAATTGGAAATTCATATGAAGAAAAAATGAAAAGCTGGAAGAGACATTCAGAAGCATTGATTGCTGTCAAAAGTGCTTCCATTAAATACAGTCCTAGGGAGCAAAATACTTATCTAATCATTGAATTATACTTCGTAAGTCTTCTTTGCAAGTTGTATTGAGATCCAGCCCTTTTCGCATATCACAGTTTAGGTTGACCAGTTCTGTTGTTTGCTTTTTATAGTTTGAATAAAATAATTAATTGGAAATAAATTATGTACATTACTTGTAAACCATCACATAAAATATCATTTGATAGGGGTGAATAATTTGCAGGTCACTGCACTGTATATAAAGTGAAAAAAAAAACTAATTTTGCTCAAGATACACTCACAGGTCTATTCAAATAATTCTCATTTTGCGTTTTATTCTCCTTGTTAATTTTAGATACAAATGTACATGTTCGCTATGAAAAAAATCCCCAAACTCAGCTTTCTAAGGGAGACAAAAAGTGATGTTTTCCTTTTCCTTTTACATGGCTGAAGAAGAGCTATTGTCCTCCCCAAAACTCTGGAAAAAATTATTTTTTAATCATCTGATCCCTGTGCAACAACATAATAACATGCTTTTCCTTTTCATTCTTTTCCAGTTCAATACACCACAGTTCATCCTCTTGAGAAACAGTGTTTTATTTTGTTTCCTGTTTTTTATTTAAACTTTCATGTTTATAATTCTTAACCACGGTGCTGTATCTCGTTAGAGAAACATTTTTCTGTCCTTATGAACTGTTTCTCCTTGAGTTGAAATCATCGTTCATCGTTTTTTCATTTCATCCTTTACAGAGTCTGGATTTTGCAAATCCAAAAGTCACGTCTCCATGAAGTCTTATAATTCCCACGTAAATAAAGAACATAACATTATCTGTGAGTACATCCCATACAGTACCTGAGCGATCTGATATCATTGTCATGTCCCTTCTCTGGACTCTTTCCAGTGCCGCAATATCCTTTTTGAAATGTAATGACCCAACTTGAAATGCTGTATGAGGTCACCCGGAGCAGTAAAAGACATCAGAATAATGTAAAGTATCCAAGAATTCCGATAACGTATCGCTTTCCTGCACTATCCGGATGTGTAAGTGATCCTGAAAAGCCAAGACATTCTTGGAAGTAGGCTGCTTTAATTGTATACCACTCATTCAACGCTTATATCATATACTGTTTATATTACTACATCGCTTCATCACAGACGAATGAAAGCTACAGTAGCTATCTTAACATTAACAAAGTATAGTAAAAACACCTTTACAATACACATTTTAAAAAAGCGTAATAGGCATTTTCTTATAAAACTTAATACTAAATATGCATGATAAATAATTTTGGAAAGAAACTCATCTAGCTTCCTGAAAAATTCCCATTGCACAATGTTGGATGAGTCACTTCCAGAATGCGACTTTAAAAGCCCTGAATGCTCAGAGCTCAGAGCAGCGGTCGATTCAAACCAGACAGAGTCAGGAACAAAGAGCCTTGAGTCGCACTACAGAAGTCTCACATCAAGACAAAACCATGAACGGCAAAACTATAACCTGTGTGATTTTTATCTGCCTGACTTGTGCCGCTCTTACAGAAGGTAAGATTGTTTTCTGACAATTCAATGACAATTTAAAAGTTTTAACGAGCAATGTGAAGAAATGTGTTTTTTTAACTTAAATGATTGTTATTAATTGTGATATTAATTCATAGGGATGGCACTGAAAAGCCTGGGGACGGAGCTGCGTTGTCAGTGTATCAATAAGGAAAGCCGGTTCATCCACCCCAAACGGATCCAGAACGTGGAGCTCTTTCCCAGCGGTCCGCACTGTGGGAATGCTGAAGTCATGTAAGCGCATCTCCATTCTGAATTAATTTATCATTATTCTAATCACACTACTATTTTTAATCCTCTATGTTTACATTATCTAGACAAAAAGTGCGTTGTGGAGGGGTCCACTTAAAATCCGTGATTAAACGCTTAAATGGGTTTTGTCTGCTCTGTACATTCACAGCGCTACCATGAAGACAGGCAAGAAAATCTGCTTGGAGCCCACTGCCCCCTGGGTCAAGATCCTAATCAAGGCCATCATGGAAAAGTAAGCTTTTTATCTTGGACTACATTATTTAAGAAATATGTGTTACAGTTTATTCATACAAATGTTTTGACATTGAAAAACATATATCTTGCCACATACAGTACAGAAGAAAATGTAATGTGTAATGTTTATTTTGTGTTTCAGCCAAAAGCTCTGAGGACTTCTTGAAGAAATGCAGAGAGGACAGCTTGTATTCAGACTCAGGAGATTAAATGAAGGACATGAAAAAATACATGTCTTATTTAATAATAATTTTAATATTATTACTGTTTTGTAGCTCACACTGGATGTTAAACATGTATGGACATTCCAATTGTAAAACACAGCTGGTCTGTGTCAGATATTTTTAAGCCTGTTACCTTCAGTCTATGAAGGTAGTGATCATCTTCCCACTTAAAAAGACCTGTACTTATGGCTACTGTTTAAATGTTTTAACTTTAAAACTTGAAGCTTTAATTTTTTTTCCAGATTTACTGAAACTAGATGTCAAAGTAAATATTTAATATTAAAATGCTTTTTTTACTTTCTCAAACCAATTTAAATTTCCCTTTTCTAATTTAAATTAAAGATGTTTATGTTTATTTATATATTTATAGTTTATTTATTTGTTTGTTTGCAGCTTTGTATGAAATGTTTTTTTCTATATAATGTTAAAAATCAATAAAAAAAATTAATAATGTTAAAACATGGCTGTTTTAAATTGACTGTTTGTACTATTTCTTTAAACTAATACAGGATATATGAAACCAAGTGTGATGCTAACCTGAAGTTTAAAATACACTTAAATCTCAGTTGCTTGACATGGAGGGCTGTACGAAGTACTACATCCTTCCATCTGTAATTTGAGTCTCCACACAGTAACATGGTTCTAATCAGTGTCTTTGTTTTAATCAAATCCTTTTGTGGAGCTGCTTCTTAATATGCAGAAAACTGAATCACCAATAGTGAAGAAGCTGACAGCTTGAATTCTGCATAGATGGGTTGATGATGAACACAAACATATACACTTAAAAAGAATTTGGACCGGGCAGATAAAAATATAATTTGAAGAGCCAATTCTGTTTTCTAACAAAAGCTAAAAGCACCCTTCAGTCGACTACAGGCTAAAGTTGTGTGTCTCATTTATTTGCTGCCAGTCTTCAAACATTTCTGAATCTCAGTAAGAAAATGAGAAGGAGGAAGAAATCTGTGTATCAACACAAAATGACTGCAGCACATGGTCAGTGTGAAATAATTAGCATACCTGTAAAGTATTTGCAGAAATATGATCAATACTCATTTTTGGACATCAGATATTTCTCTTGATAAACCATGGGGCGGACAACATCAGCAGATCTTGAGGTTACACTGACTGTTGTGTTGCTTAAACCAGTTAGTAGGAATGTGTGATGATATGGACTGGTATAGTGTGTCTTCTAACAAAAAGACACCTTTGAGTCTCCTGTTTTATACTGTTGCGCAGAAATATTTGGTCACTTGTTACGTACAATACATAAAAGGTTAGGAACAGTGGAAAATTCCCTTTTAGCTGAAGTAATTATTTGCATGTTCTTTGAAAAATGTGTAAAAACCTAATATTTTAAGTTAAAAATATTTAGAACTAAACATTTAGTTCAAAATATTAGAATTAGTTATTATTATTATATATCTATTAATTCAAAGTGTAAGGGCTCAAAACTAAAATATAAATTGCAAAAAAATATTTTAAGAAATATATGGCATGCCTCTATCAAATAGAAATGGAAGCAAATGATCTTTGATGTTATTACTGCACTTCTATAAAAAATAAGGACTGGCATAGTACAGGGCAAGGTGTCCTTAATTCCAGATTCCGTACTGAATATAGAACACTGCCATTTTCAATAGAGAGGCTAACTCAAAATCTGCTTGGGAAAACTAGAGATTACAGTACTGTATGTGGAGAGTAATACTCAAATGAATTGTTTTCATGGCAAACATCAATCTGTGAGGCTTTGTCTCAGCTACTTTTCTCACTCCAAAGAGAAGAATTCAAATTCTATCTTTTTCCTGTGCAGGGAAAATATACATCAGCAACTGCTCTTTCTGATAATCACACTGGAAATGGACCCATCAGTCTAATCCGATTTGTGGAAATGACTACTATAGAAATGCTGGAATTACAGCAGGAGTCAGAAGAAAAACAGATTTCACTTTTACTTCACTTACAGTCCCTTCTTGGCCATGGATGAAAAGCTGTGTGACTCAAGAAACCTTGTACAGTAAAAATTGAATCCTGGAAAGATTAAGATAATGAACAGAACAGTTCATTGGAAATAAACAAGACACAGATGCAGAGAAGCCCCGAAGATTTTTTCTAATGTTCACCTCTGGGTTTAAAGTTTTAAAGAAAAGTGATCTAAGGCATAAATCTAGATTTATTTTTATTGTATTTTCTTATTTGACATTGCTGTGTTATATTAGTTACACTCCACAATGTTTAACAAATTCATTAGGAATTCTATCATATTCTGTTGCTTTGTTATTTCAACATGCATGATGCTTTCTATCTCATTAGATGTTGGCAGAGTTGTGTTGTGGAAACAGCAGTGACATAATAATAAATATATCTTGGAGAGATTTCATTGACAGAGTTATTCTGCAATTATGTTATGTTTGTGATTCTGGGCACTGACAAAGACATAGTCAATCAAATGTCACTGGTAAAGGACATATGGTTATTGGTCACATGTTAAATAGGTAGCCTATAAATAAAACAAAAGACTACTCAAGGGCACACATGTGACAGGGGAAAACATGTAGCATGCCAATAAAACATGAAAAAGACCCAGAGAATCAACAACTCTTGGCCTTAGTGACACTGCATGTGTCTTCTAACAAAAAGACACCTTTGAGTCTCCTGTTTTATACTGTTGTAGTGTTGAATCAGGTGTATCCCCCAGTATTCTTTGTGAGATCAAAGTCACCTGAAACTCACCTGACTTGCTACTCGTCCATGATGTCATAATACCTTCACACTTTTCTGGAACACTCCACTCAAAGTGATTTACAGGTAATGGGGACTCCCCTCCACCACCAGTGTGCAGCGCCCACCTGGATGATTTGACGGCAGCCAGAGTGCACCAGTATGCTCCCAGTATGCTCAGCACATCAGGTCTCAGTGGGGAGTGTCTCTGTTTCATAGAACACACAGTTGTATGAAATAATAACAGACTAATAACTATGTACACTGATGTAAGTCCTGTTATTTATGGACCCCAAGAACTCATGTAATGTTGATGTGTCATCACCTGAACCAGAGTTAGCTACTGTATGAGGGTAGGTGACCATTGATTTAAACCCACTACAGAGTGAGTATGCATCAGTTCAACTAATTAATGGTAATTATCTGTGCTTTATACAGTAGTTTCTGTTTCAGCAGTCTGAAGTAAAACGTCTATAGCGGAGTAGTGTGATTCTTTTGTAACTAAATAAATTACCTATATGCATTTGGAATGTTTTTTATATTTTCAATGATCATTTATGAGTTCTAAAAATTAAACTTCAACGAAGGACAAAGTACAAAGTAACGAACACCTTTCATGTAAGGAAGTGCTTCAAGGATGGTAATTATTTGTATAAACTCTACTTTATGGTTTTCCGTCAAAGGAGCCTGTTTGTTTAATCTGCGCACCCATGAAGCGGGAAAGATCTAAACATTTGCCGTTTTAATTACAGCAAAACTTCCCTCATTTCTGCTTTTCTTGAGCAGGGTAATACATTTTATGGGAACAGTTTACACTAATTCTTAGATGTATTTTGGTATGCCTTTCTGAATGTTTAAATAAATATAACGACCAGCGTATATTTGGTTTATAAACAGACGTGGTAAACAGAGTTCCCAACTTTTTAAAATAAACGCTGTTAAATTAATTAAACCAGCAAATTAATGCTTTCATTTCTGATGCCGTTTTTCACATACATGCACTTAATGATGACTGATATAATTTATTTTGTTCGCAGTATCTATATTTTTTTCTGTGGAGAAATTCTGACAATGAATGAAAATATCTGCAGAGCAGCGAAAGGTCTTCAATCTTTCTACCAAAACCGAAGAAATTCCCATTGCGTCATGCCTGCTGAGTCAGATCCAGGACAGGGTTATAAAAGTGTTGCTGGTCTGAAGCAGCGGTACATTCAAATGAACACACGACCGTGTACCTTAACCCAAGCTACAAGATTTTCACTTTTTCAAAGCACCATGTGTGGCAAACTTTCAGTCAGCGTGCTTATCATGTGCCTGGCTTTAGCTACGCTCCTGGAAGGTACAGTAAGATTGTTTCTGAAAAGGAAAGATGTGTTAGTGATCACATCATCATGCTAAACATTGTATTTCAGTTCGCATGATAAAGTACGCTAAGATCTTTCATTTTAGAAAATGCATTTTTTTTAAATGCGGCAGTATAGATGTTTATTAATTTCACAATGTATTGTGTGTCCACAGGGAAAAGCGTCCCTATGGAGCTCCGCTGTCAGTGCATCGGAAAGAAGGAAAGTCGGTTCATCCATCCAAAACATATTGAAAATGTGGAGCTTTTTCCCAGAGGACCTCACTGCAAAAATGCCGAAATCATGTAAGCGCATCTTTATTCTGATCATTAAGAGTTCGTAAGAGAATCAATAAATAAATTCAGATAGCTACAGTACCTGCAGCTGTTACTTCAGTGTGAAAAAATACAGGTGTTTTTTTACCCGTAGTCAAGTATCAGTTGTCAAATATCGTGCCATGACAGGTCCACCCCTCAGGTAAGCTTCAGAAACCGGTTTTTAACTTTCTCTGATGTGTCCTTTTGTTTTGTTTTTTTAATTTACAGCGCTACTCTGAAGACTGGCAAGCGTATCTGCGTGGAGCCGACTGCCCCCTGGGTCAAAGTTGTGATCAAGGCCATGATGAAAAAGTAACTGTTGCCTGTACGTTGAATCACATGGCCCGTTTTTTAAGAATTGGGAATGAGCTCTGGATACTGTAGCGGGCTATCCTTTTTTTTAATAAGCTGTATAGGTGTGTGTAGAGGGAGAGAACTGGTCGGCAGAGCTTGAAGCTTTTATTGCCTCGAATAACAGGTTCGTGCAAGGGGGAGGGGGTACACCACCCCGTCTTTTTTATAGATGGGGAGGAATGAGCTTTCTTAGGGGAGAAAGGGAAAATACCAAGGAAGAGTCCAGGAAAATCATCACTGGTGGGCGGAGCGCTGCAATCCTATAGCGGTGTAAACATCTGGATTTTTTATACCGGGGATGTCTGAGACAGTGTTCTACATTTTCTGAGATAGTTGAGTTGTTGAAATGTCTTATATTCAAATTGTGGTTTGTATATATACATAGTACATACAAATTGTATCACATAGAAATGCACACATTGTATCTCATAGAAATGCTTAAGTTAGGAAAATAACTGCATCAATTGCACATCGCTTCTGCTTTAAAATATATACGGGCTTTTTTTCCTTTTCGGCTTTTCAGCCTGTAGTTCTGAAGTCTTCAGACAGAAAACGGTGGAAGAGACATTAAAAAACAATCATCCGCCCTCAGGCCGCACAGTGTGCACAAATCACGTGCAGGCACAGAGTTGAAACATTCTGCTCTGTAAGGCACAGCTGGTCTGCGTTAATGATTACAGGACTGTCAGCTTCTAAAACACTGGCAAGTCACTGACAGACCACTGCTGTTTAAGAGCAGTAAAAGATACAAGACATGGAACAAATCGTGGTACAAACACCTGAATGGGCCAGATGTGCTGAATGTCTTCCTCTCATTTCTAATCTTTCTTATGTAAAATCTCTGTAAAATATTGATTTGATTTTTTAGAAGCTATCATACTGTACGTACTTGTACTTGAGCTGGTCTTAAAGTATTATTTTTAAGTGTATTGTTTCATTCATGCCTTGTCAATATATATATATGTTTATTTTTTAATATTTATTTGCCCTATAAAGAATTGTAAATATTGTTATAAAACATTTCTATGCAAGGAAATGTATTCTATATATTTTATTAAATCCATTGTATGATGTTGTTGAGATGTACTGTTGTGACTCCTGGCTTTGAATAGCATACCACATAATTTTAATGTTAACGATTTTACAGAATAAAAATACAAAACCTATAACTTATGTTTCACTTTGACTTTTTTTAAAATGTTTAAAAATGTTTTATGTTAACATAACATAACAATGTTTTAAGTTATGATGTGAACATGACAAAAAAAACTGCAAAACTAGACATCAAAGAAAGAAAACACAAACTGATGCTTAAAAACGTAAGTAACTTAAATAACTGTTGAGTAACTGTTTAGTGTGATGTTCTACAAGCTAGCTAAGTAGTACTCCTTTCAAGTTATATACAACTAGATTATTTCTAATACATCTTGGGGCTATTTTTAAGATGCTCAAGGTGTCTCGTTTCTCTCTTTTACCAACTGATATGTGCTGCTTAGAGATTAATTAAGTTATGGTCCAACCATTATATTCAGTAGACCCAATAAAACGTTTATTTTTTAAATGTTTATTTACGGTATATATGCATTCTGCCTGTATGTGACAATACTTTGAGCTCTTTCCAGTTTTAATTACAAATGACAAAGGCAACGTGATGGTGATTTTCTGCGCTATTTAGTCATGCTGTTAGGGAACTAACCAGAACTGTAGACTCTCATAGGTGCTAAACCCTTTGTAGGGATTCGTCCTTTTCAAGGAGGAACTGTTACACAATACAGTAGCAAATATAAGGCTCATTGGAATAAATCAGTGGCAATTACAGTGCGTCACTTGCCAAGTAGCTGATATGAATGCAAGAATAATTCTCGACTACTGAATAGTGCTTTTATTTTCAAAGAATCCCAGGGCACTTTCATGTCTAGGGTGGGACTGCCTTCATCCACCACTGATGTGCAGGACATGGCTGAAGAGTGGTAGCCCATATGAGCCAGCGGCTGATCGGATAGGGAAATGAAAAACCACTTCCGCACAAACGTGGACATGTAATTGACCCAGGTTGTCAAAGATAACACCCCTACACTTACACTGCAGTTTGGATGAGTAGTAAGGACCTTGGTTGAACAAGCTACTGTATGGGACATTGTTTTGCAAATTCTGGTCCAGAGGTCCAGAGGAAAGGTTGCTCCAGCCTGCCTTAGCTTCTGACATCTGATGAGATCAGACTACAGTGATAGTGACATTGCAGTCACAGAAATCTTATATATCAGACAGGTAGAAACATTCTGGTTAGGAAAGCATACATCTGGCTAGGAAATACCTACAGTTGTAAATAACATGAAAGCTCTTTGAAAACAAACACACAGTAATCCTGCTATTAAAACAGTTTTGTTGTGGGATGTGGATCCAGATCTCCTTAAAATGGTACTGGAGCTCCTGTAGTGCCCTATGTTCACCTGCGGGGGCAGCTATTGCTTTCTTTAACATGTGGCTCGTTCCAGGTGTGGGATTGCTGGCCCAAGTGTGCTCAATAAAAGTGAGACAGTACGTTTTAAACTTTGTGGTACCCACACATTCACCCTAATTTGTCCATTAATTTATCTTTTCACCATGCATTTGCAACTAAGTTTTGAATCTTTTGCAATCTTTTGCTGTGAGGATGTACTAGATGTTATGCTAGGTTCTTTCCTCATTTTAAAACGGGTCATCCTCATACTGTATGTGCCAATGTGACTAGTCTCCAGCCTTACCGGGTGTGCAGGATTCACTAGAAGAAGTGTACCGTAATGAAGAAGGGAAAGGAAGTTTTGATTTGCGTTAAGATATGGCCGGATGGAAGGTACCGTAGCTCCCAGCGTTTTGAGCAAGAAGATCATCTGTGCGCTTGATACAGGCTCCTTGATTGAGTGGGAGGTGGTTGCAGAAGGGACGATGTAGCTGGCAGAATAATCAGGAAGCAGGACCGGAATTAGAAAAGGAACAAGGACGACATAGACCGCCGGGTAAGCAAGACTTGGACTGAGAACCAGAAGCCTGCAGGATCGCCAGAAAGCCAGATCAACATGTAAATTAATTGTGTGCACAATTGTCTTTACTCTCACTGCAGTCAAAAGAAAAGAAGAGGTCAGATCGACTGTGTGGCTTGGAGAGAAAGACGGGCTTGTGAGGGGGAGACAGTTCTGAAGCTCCCCATGAAGCTCCCCGTGGTGTGCTGGAAAGATAAGGGTTGAAGAATCAGGCTAATATCTAGGTTGCTAAGCAAATGCTCTTGGAATGCACTGGACAAAGCAGAGGTCATGAAGGAGGTAAGGTGGCCTTGGAGAGGGAACCTGTTGTTTAGGCACTTTATTCCAGTTTCACTCATGGGCCCCATCTCAAGTCACATGAACCTCTCTAAATTACTTTTACATGAACCTCCTATCATTTGTATGTTAATTTGCAGAATGATGTAGAGGTATTATAGCTCTGCTAATCTGGACTAATTAAATTACTGTACCTTGCACACACCCCTTTTAGTGTGTCTTTACAAGCCATCCTCTGTTTTGTTGAGAGCACCCTTTAAATGACATAAAGGGAGAGGGTGGTCTTCTGGAGCCATAATTAAGCCTATCAACCCCACACTGCTGGATCTGATGACTCTGTGTGGCGTGTCTGAAACTCCTGTGCCTTCACAACCAAAATAAAATCCCTTCATTCTTCATGCAGCCTTCCCAAATGTTCATTCATATTCATTCATCGTAACATCAAGCTTTTCAGTAGCATATATTAAAGGTCTTAGTGTTGATATAAAACAGAGAACAAGAAAACAAGACTGTTAGGTCACTGACATGCACAGCCAAGAAAATAAACAACAACAAAAATGTGCACAAAGTCAGGCAGTTCCTTCTTTGGCAATTTTTTGTAAGTTCTTCCTTGTTGTGCCTAGCCTGTCAGCAGGATTTTTGGTGAATTTGGGAAAATCTAAATGTTGGTGATCGGCTAGGATCTCTTCTTTTCATGATGGGCATTATAGCCATATTGCCAAAAATCTGACTTTTGCAATATCTCCTCTTAATCCCTTATTGTAATTTTTCAGTCTCTTTTTCACTTGATTTCTTGACCTCATCCACTTCCGAGAACCTCTGTCTTTCTTTCTCCATATTTTTCCTCTCTCATTTTTTCTAAACACCATCTGCAGGGTCTGCCGTTTGTGTAATACCACATTCCACTCAGTTCCTTGTCAGCCTGCTGTACATGATTGGATTACACAGCACAGTCAGACAGCTTTCATTAAAGGGCGACTCGATAGGATTCAGCACATTATACACACAGTTATCAATACTGCCTCCCTTGTGCTGTTCTTCTGTTGTACCTGAGGAAGACGTCTGACCAGCTTGAGTTTGGAAAATCTAGAAGTCAATTCTATGTCATATGGGTTTTATCCATTTCAGCAATTCAGTAAAAATTGTGTACACCAAACTTGAAGCAATAGTTTTAACGGGCAGCAGATTTTCTTCCAAGTTTCCTGTTTTAGGGATGCCTACTTCATTTTGTTTTGTGTTGGTTGTTTGCTTTGTATTTAGAACTCAAACTGTCCCTTAATCTTTTATTTCTACCACTATGTTATAATACTCAACATTGCACAATACTCCGTGCTGAATATGTATTGTATAGTGTATATAGACTCTATCGATGTCTTATTGGCTGTCGATCCACATACTCAAAGGCAATGCACACATCAAACATTTTTGCAATTGTAATCAAATCATCAAACCTGTTCTCACTTTCTTTGATCATTTTTGCCATTTAGAAAAAAATCTTTTTACAGTTTTTAGAAATACTATTTCAACAGGAAAAAAAAACTTAGGCAAGTTTCTTTGAAAAGTAGTTGCAATGCTGTTTCACTTCTTTTTTTGACATTCATCTCTCGGTTAATTGCTTAAAGATATCGTATATCTTAGTTCTTATGAGCAGCAGCAACTCCAAATGCATTCATATTTTCAAAAAGTGTCGAATGGATTTGTGGATGTGTGAACTGGACAGTTCCTTAAGGGATGACCTGAATGATTTCCAGGAAGAAGCGTTTCAGAAGGTTACTGAAAACCACCCACAGATCTTGAATTTGCATACTAGAATTCAGTATCAAGTAGTTGCAGCCTGGGGATTAATGTTACCAGGGGGTTAAAAATTTCGGACCTACGAAGGAGGGAAACACTAGTCACTAACAAAAAACAAGCTGAAACAACATGCTTGAGATCGACTCTAGGTGCTCCAAATCGATAATCATACACTATCTAGCGGATACCAGAAGTATCGGAGTGATGGTTGCTCGACTCGCTCCATGAATCACGTGGTTTAGCATTAGAATAGTTCGATTGACATAATTCAGTTGGTGTTTCCCCCTCTTTTTGCACATTTTCAGTGAAAGTGCCTAGGGCCTACGAATACCTGCTCTGGAGATAGGGCTGCACAGTGATTAGCATTCCT